CGCTTTTCTTCTTCCAACCACCATCCCAACGATATTCATTTTGTGAAGTGTTTGCTGGTTCATCTTTAGAAGTGATCGCATAAGCGACATGTGCGTTGTATGGAACTTTCAGATGTGGTTCAAGTAGAGCGGAGGGCTGGGAATAATTATTGCGTCAAGTAAATGAGCACAAGGATAAGGATTAGTGACTTACATAGTGGTTCCTCTTATAAGCCTGAGTACAGCCATCTCTGCTTCTAGTGAATTCCTGTCTAGTGTATTTGTTCATCGGACTTCCCAGGTGTATACACCATATGGTCTCTTCAATCAATGATCCGTCCAGAACAGCTTATATCCCTTTACAGCAAGTATTCATTCTGATTTTCCTCCCACTTGATTCATAGTCCCATGTTAACTGGATCCCACTAGGCTATGCAAGCATTGTGTTTCACTGTCGTATTTCTTCACTGAATGGAATGTGATCAGTGAAGAACTTTATCGCTGTTTTACAATGACCATTGCAGTCAACAGTCGTTTCTATCTAAAACGTTTCTACAGCTGCACTTGATCAACTGAAGATTACAGAGTGACGTTAATCCTTATACTGTCGAATGCTTTCTCGCAGTCAGCGAAAGTTATAACAGAATTCGGTGTTATTCAAGGAAGATCTCTGTGACCTCCGAAAGCATTTGCATGTGACCTATGCATTCCTTACAAAATCCAGTTTGTTCTATTGGTTGCGTTCCATTCGAGTTATTTAAAGTGTACGATAGAACAGTCTTCGTGATAATTTTACAGCGTATGCACAGTTTGGGATAGTAGGATTGCTGGAACAAATGTCATCCCTATCGTGCATTTGTCATAAGGAATGGCGCGAGAAGCTTTCCACTAAATGGGTAACCATTCCCTTTGCAGGGATAACTCATGGGTGGTTAAGTACAGCATATAAGTGGTGGTGGCAAGTCCGTAGAAGATCGGTAGAAATGAGTATTTTTCAATTCCGACTTTTTATTTACTGCCCTTTACAAGTTCTCATGGCAGGGTATTAAGTATGACACAACACAATGATGCTGAGATATTTGCAAAACTCCGAATCACAAGTGTCGGCTGCGGTTTACCACCACACCATGCGGATCCTTCGTTTCGTCTATCTTTCAGTTAGTTCTAGCTTTCACTGCCATCAGCAATCACCCGTCAACGGGTTTCATCCGGTGAGCCCAAATCGGCAATGAACGCGGTCAAACTGAGGCTTTAGTTGAAATTCACAATATCGACTTTTTATTTACTGCCGTTTGCAAGTTTTCACGGGAGGTTCCCCACCGCAGACACCTGCTGTCCGAAGTTTTGCAAACATCTCAGCATCATTGTAAGTAGCTTTTTTTTGCCCAGGGAGTCTGTTTCAGGTTTCATTTCTAATTGCGGCTTGAGCTTCTACGTGAAGAATCGTTGGAAGTTGTTCCAGTGGCGATGGTAAGGAATTTCTGTCTTATCGCTTATCCATCCTCATAGCGATTCACAGGAAGAGGAACGTTATACTCGCAAAGGTTTCGTCAGTGTTCGTTTGCCTTCTTTCTCATGCTGTCTTTTAAATCATCGTCTTTGCATAACGGCGAGAATACACCTGTACCGTGTTTCTGCAAATAGCACTAATGACCACGTCTTTCATTTCTTTGAAGGAGGGATCTCATCGCAAGTTCATTATTTCTCAGATGCTCTCCAGAATTGATTTTTAAGGGTTCACAGCTTCTCTTTTTATTAAAAAGAGCATGCTCGGTACAAGTTCAAAGTTTTTTCATTGGCATCTTTTAGTTCTCCATCTGATCATCGCTTTCCCCATCGTAATTCGATAGGGCATTAATGAGAATGGACCCCTTTTGTATCGCCTGTCTTATTCTTTTCACACGATGAATTTTTCTTCCAGTTTTTGACTGAAACGACTCATGAAAAGCCGGTAATCCGATCAGATGTCAGAAAAGATGGAGCGACACCGTTGTTGAAGATACAACATCTTCTATTCAAAGGGATGCGATCGGTTTTTGAGACGACCACATCGTTTAGAAATTTTCTCACCCAGTTGTGAAGTTTCTTTGGAAAGGAATTCCCATAGAAGAGAACAAAGAGTACTCTCACAAGAGAATTGACACTTCCATTACAATTTCTCGGTTTAAATTCTCTAGTTTTGTGATTTTGTATAGTTCTTATCCTTGCTCTGAAGTCGCAGGTGACAAATTTGTAGGTCTGCTCCTTCAGACCGTATTACGTTTTCTGTCAATAAATTCGAGTTCAGGCCAATAAAGCCAAGTCAACGATGTTAATCATTTCAACCCCAGATAAATTATTTCTTTTAAACGTGGCCTTAATCACCATCCTTACCAATTACATACAACTGTGAGAACAGCTACTAGAAGTTGCAATACTCTTCCGCCTATAACAAAGGTGTCGACCACTGCATTCTAGTCCGTTCCGGTCCACTGTTCCCGTCGTTCGTTTAGCTGCACCTTGTCTAAGCGCAAGGTAAGTTGTTTCTGGGAAAACTTAGATAAAACGCTTGTTGGGTGGTGAGCAAAATTCGCTGCGTGGTCGAAGTGTTATCCCACCTTCTGGTTGCATAACGGAGGATTTACTGCTAAGTTGAAAGGATGGGAACAGAGTTTAACCGTAGGATAGCGGATTTTTTGAGAGCACGAGAGAGGCGATCTATGTTACTGTACGGTTTATGTGTAGTTGTTTCGTCAAAGCATTGTCCGTGAACATTCAGTGACTGAAACAAGCGGACATCGTAATCGAAGAACCACATAGTTTCTTCCTTATTCAAAGAGCTTTTTCATGAAATAAGTCTTCCAATGGTCTATCTGTAGTTCTATAATTCTAGTTTCTCCGTTGGTCGTTAGACATCGTTTCACCTATAAATAACGAAGAAGTGATGACGTAATACATCTCTAAAACCCCACTTTTATTTCACCTCATAATAAGCAGCCAATACCTTCCTGGATTATTGACCTAACAGGAGGTTGGTGTAAAATATTTGTTCGGCTAGGGTTCCGACGTCTTCGTCTTCTTCTGATCCGGAGTGATCCGAGTCGATCATCCACAGGCGGTCGTCCTCACGAGGTGGGTGCCTGTTGTCGCATCGAGTCAAATTCAATGCAATCGAACTCACGTGGATCTCGGATCAATCCAGCTCTGGAGAAGATGGAGGTGTCGAAACAATAGCCGAATAAACATTCCTTAGCAACCTCGTCTCAGCTCAACAGTGCAGGGTATTGACGACACAGTATTTGGCACTATGAAAAACATGAAGCGAGGACCGGAGATGTGTTACATTTCTGGCTATATCGATGTGTAAAACTGATGTTTTTATCCTAGAAAATGGTTCTTAAGTGATACGATTTCGCGCAAGCCCACCCAGTAGTTCATAGGAAATGATGGATACGGATAGGAGATCCGCTTTTCCTTTTACTATAGAATTTCCTTACCACGAGTTTTCCGCTCATTGAGACAACATATCGGTTCACGGCTTCGTAACTCCTTGAATATTTCTCCAATTTGCCTATTGTGGGGATATACGACGGAATTGTGCTAGTGGTGACCCTAAGAAGGATGTGAAAATAAACGTTTCATAAGTGCAGAACATGTAGCTGCTGCGTGATGAGCGTCTTTTGGACACATTTACTTCATTCGTATTGTGTGACGTTTGCAGCTCTGGAACAAGGGAAATCCTAGATTTGAGCGAGTTTCATCGTGTATATTAAGGGCTAATGTTTTAGACGAAAACTGACCTGTCGATCTTTTCTTACATAGACTTACTCTTAGATGAGTTCTAGGACAGAAGCGTCGATCTTTTTCGTATTTTGAGTGCACGGACAAAGAGTACATTTCTTTGTTCTCAACGAATCCTCTGTCAAATAACGCTTCCACTCTCAGTGTCGTTCTACCGCAACCAGGCCTGAACGCATTTGTGTGCTCTTTTGTGGGGAGATAACGCGCTCCAGCTTCCATTTCAGTGTCATACTGCTTTTCGTGCCCCGTTACTTCCTGCTACGTGGCCGTTCGATCCTTGATGGGATGGACGTTATTCTTTGTCTGGTGTCATTGGTGAGAGCTGTTTTCGCAGGTATGTGTTCTTCTAAACTCTCAAGTAAAGGATAAAAAGATAAAGCTGTCGGCGTTGATCCATCCCTGAGGGATGCGCCATGAATTCGACTTCATTAAGCATCATTGGGGGTGACTGAATGCATATCTAGCTTTTAAAATGACTTGCGGTGGCCTATCAATGTATTGAACCAGTACTGCTATCCTCCCAGACGAGTCTGATATCAGTTTACCGAATCCGGAAAGATGGAAGGCTTGGTGGACCAGTAACTGAGTAACTTTAGGTAGGAAAATGGATTAAATGTAACATGTGGACACTTTCAAATGTAAAGTCGCTGTTGATATTGAACGTGCGAAGTGAAGATTCATTGTCATCCTCTTTTTTACAGCAATCGCGTGATTGTTATTCAGCACACGTTTAATTCCTCACAAATACAGCACATACAACACAATGGTGGCTGATGTTTCGGCAGTATCACCTTCATCAGGGTCTGGAAGGGTACACCAATATGTAATTTAGTAGGTCAAACGCTTCAACAATGCGAACAGAAAGATGAAAATCTAAACAGTAATCGCACGATCACCGGCTTTTCGAAAACCCACCGTTTTTATCTGTTTTCCACCAAGGAAGAAAGGCCGCTTAGGGTCGCATAATCCAATGCCAAGGTTAATAGAAAGTCGATCTTGAGAGGTGAAGATTCATTATTTGAAGTGTCAAGTCTTTGCAGATTTACCAAGAAACACTGGATGTGTGAAAAGATCGGTGCTGTTATGCAGGTTACGGATTTGATAGTGATGTTGAAAAGTTTCGGTTAGCACAAGATGGTATAAGCTGAGTGCGTGAGGGGTTGTGTAGATAGATTTGCATTAGGAAACGGTGTCAGAACGTGTGATATGCTTACTATTCGAATTGAGAAGAAGAAAAGCACAAAGGACTTTCGCTGATTTTGCTGATGGCATATCAAAAGCTTTCCAGAGAGCACACACACTACTGGATATGTCATCGAGCACATGTAGTTTTTGTATCCTTTTGTAACTAGAATCAATTCGTTAGTTTCCTGTGTTATCATTTGGGTCTGCTAACAGACTAAAAATGCAGGGAAAACTGCCTGTTGTGTACCAAGTAAACCACCTGTTCACCTACAATGAATTCTCAGGTTGACGCTGTCCTGGACACGAAGTGGAGAGGCCAGTAGGTGATATCGACTACATCCTCAGCCTAACATGCCGATTTATGCTCCCCAGATCAATTGCGTTGACGGGTGATTGCTGTTGGCACTGCTTGATAGAAAACCAGCTGAGCGACACGCGAAATCGAGGACCCGCGTTGGTGAACCCGTTAGCCTTCGGATAGCGTAAAAACGGGTTCGATCCTTAGCGCAGACACCTGCGGTCAGGAGTTTTGCAAATACTTCAGCATCTTTATGGTTGATAGAGAAGTGTTACTCTAAGCATCACAACGTTATTGACTGTCTTTGTAACGTTATGAATTCAAATTATCTTGTCGACTTGTAGTACAAAAGTGTTTCTTTCCTTTTTCAGTCCAAGAAGTCTTGTTCTTCTTTATTGACTATCCCAAGCAACTCTCGTATACCTATCAAATGCAACCTTCTCACAGCGTCGGAGTGCCATTTCCAAAGTATTCCTACAAAGTATGTTTCGCTTTGAATTATTGTAGGGAAATACACGTATATGGTGAGCATCCGTGCCGAATCGTTCGTTCAGTTTGCATTGTTAAAGATAAGAGTTTCCCATTTCCCTAATCACTCTTCTAGAAGGCTTCACTAGTGTACGCCAATCCAGCACATGGATGCGAACCTTTGAAAAATAGGCTTGGACCAAATCAAGTCGTCTTGTTAGAAAGAGGGTCTGTTCATCTTTCATTTCTATATCCACCTGGGAAGGTGTTAGCATTTTGAATTCATTCTACGCTGAACTCGTGCTCCATCATATGTTCTTTTTTCAGTGAATGTGCTTTCGTGGAGAAAGTGATCAATGCGGAGAATGCTGGAGCCTTGATTGCTCTCATCACGGACTCCCACTCAGGTAGTACGTGTTGCTTTAGGCCAACTCCAGTGTAGTCCCATTTCAATTTTTAAATGATGCTAAACCTTTTTTGATGATGTAGTGTCGTCTTTGTTGGACAACTTCCTTTTACGTTGATAGTGATGTCTTTATAGAATAGTTCGCGATATTGTACTTAGTAGGTTGTTGTATTGATCATGAAAGGGTGACGTGTTCTGACCACAACCATCTCAACTGAATCGAAAAACATTAATTCCATGGAAATTAAAGATGGCGATATCATTTGTATCCATAATTCCGTCGAGCTTGGTTACCATGTGGATCTGATCAATGGTGTTGAATACCTTACGAAATCCTGCTTCTTATTACAGCCGCCGTTCAGTGTTTCTGCTACTCAACTTGAGCTTGCAGACGAAAGTTAGCAGCCAGATTGGACGACAGCTGCTGACACCATGTAGATCTTCCTTGTTGTGCAGGGCCACAGTTCGACTGGGCTTTCAATGTCTAGGTTTCGCCTCGTATTCCTACAGCTTCTTCATGAATAGTTGGTGCTCTGTTTCGATGAGAGCTATTTGTGAGTTCATCAGGTGTTCGGGTTTGAGTATGATGTACAAACATATTAAATTTCTGATGTTATCGAAGCAGGAGTGGTAGACGTTCTTCTCCAATGCAGTTTTAGATACAGTAACTATTCCTCCTGTTGGACGGCGAGCAATAATTTCGGTTCCGTAATTGGCTTAATTCTGCCTAACTTTCTTCTTTAGATGTTTCTGGTTTGTTTTCGGGAAACCGAAGGACCCGACGCAAGTTAATAGTCTATTTATGCGGCTCTACGTTAGCGTTTAGCTAGGGAGTTGATGAAAATAGTAGCCTTTCAATAACCTTCAAATAAATTCATCGTTTTCTTGTTCAGCAATAGAGAAGTTGTTATACAACACAACAGGAGCCGACATTTCGTCAGTATCGCCTTCTTCAGAGTCTGGATGGGTATAATGATATGCAATTTATCAGGCCAAGCTCTTCAGCAATACATACGAAAAAACGAAAAACTGGGACAATTACACGCTCAACAGCTTCTCGAAAAACCTACTGTTTTTTTCCATGGCTTCCGTTGAAGGGAAAAACGGTGAGTTTTTCGAGACGCTGTTGATCGTGTGATTACCATACAAATTCTCGCCTTTCTGTATGTGTTATTGAAGCGTTTGGCATCATAAATTGCATATCGGTATACCCTTCCAGGTTCTGAAGAAGGCGATACTGACGAAACGTCGGCTCCTGTTGTGTTGCATGTGTTCTTTGTTTGGAAGTGAACGTATAACTGTGCTGTATAACAACCTCGCTATTGCTGAACAAGAAGTCGACGAATTTATAATCTCATGCTGAGGTTAGTAGAAAGTCGATTCTGGGGGCTTTCAAATAATAATCGACTTTCTTAATAGTGCTAACTGGTTGTAGTAAACATTTGCTACTCATTGGTATTGCCGGTAGTCGGTATAACAATTAGTCGAAGTTTTATTATTTTATTCTTTGGATTTTGCGGATTGTCCTTTCTGTTAAGAGGAGTGTATTGCGTGAAAAAATTGATGGCCCTGTTCCGTATGAAACGGACAATTGCTGCAGCGTTTTGGCAAAGGCTTCGATTTTCTTCGTGTTCATCTCCACTGGAGGACACCTTGTACAGCACAGAAAGGAGCGCTACTGCTTTTCTTACACTGTCGACGCCATTTCAGTCAGTTAATCCAATTGTGAATTATAAGAGGGAATCCGTACTGTAAAAAGAACGGTGAACATGCTGACTGTATATTTTCAGTACATCTACAAGTCAATGTGAAACGTGATATCAGGCGGCAATGGCTATCAGAGCAGGCAGTTGATCCTATATTTTTCAATTGTAAACGCTTAGTTTAGGTCGTTGACTGGATCAGTGTTCATAGCAATTACATCCGTTAACTACCCTACTATCTAATGTTTGAGGGAATTTTGTAGTTCACAGACAGCGTCTAATAAATTGTTTTCTTCTGTCATCGAGTCAGAAGCTTCCGATGCCAGACTGCGTGCATTTTATGCGCAATTCTTCACCATATCCCTCCTCCCTCCCCTCTCCGAAAAGTGGGCCGACCTGAGTAGTTCTTCCCGTCCTACTCGGCACTGCGGGCTATTATGGATTGAGGGACTAGGGCTCTTTACTTTCACCGAGTTTTATATGAGATAATTTTAGGTAGCTCGTATGATCTTAATGGTATATTGTGGTACTCTAAAAGTATGATATACATGGAGTTTATTTCTGGCAATCCCGTATCCACCGTAGGTATTTTTCGAATCCAAATAAAGAATGAAACCTGTGCACACGCATGCGTGAATACGTCTCTGCCCCACCTAAGACATAAGTAAATCTGAGACACAGTAAGTAGAGAAAGAAAATCTATAAACATATTTTACCTCTTTCTCAGGTTACATAAAGGGTTGCTATTGGTCTACATTTAATTCTCCTCCGCCACCTGTGACCGTCCTACGTGCTGTCAAGAATTCGGTTGGGCTGCTTAATTAAAGAGATCTCTGGCTGTTAAGACCTCGCTTGTCAGTGTTAGTAATATTGCTGTTCATCGAGTTAATTACTCAGTGGTTTGTAAAGCCTTAATTCGTCCATGTTGCACATCAGAACTGCATCTAAGATAGTATTAGCTTAAGAGGCGCGAACGGTATCGTATTGGTGGAGTAAGCCTTCTATGTTTAGTTTTAGTGACGGTATGGCTATGGGCTGTCATGGCTTTACTCAGTAAAGGGACGGACCTTTGACGACAAAAGGACTTTTGTGGTTAACTTAATATACTTTATGATTAGAAACAGTGTTACTACCGAAATGAATAGAAGGCGGTCTATCTTTTTGAGCAGAAGAGTCGCAGTGTTGGAAGAAGCCGTAAGGTATAATAAACTTTAAATAGTAATGTGACATTTTCTTTATTTTCTAAGCTAACCCGGTACTCTTCTGAGCACTATCTATTCGGCTTTTAGTGCTCGAGTTCCTTTTTGCATTAACTATTTTCCCAATTTCAGGAGGCGATGAATATGTTGATATGATAACAGACGTCACAGAACGGCAAGCGGGGATACCAGCAGGATATATAACGGGAGCCAGTGGGTTAGTGTTGGGTTATCATCTTTTCTATTTTCTTACCTCTCAAGATTTTAAATTTTATTTTATGTGGCGGTATTTTCACGACTTAATGTACTTTGGTACTTTGTTATATATTTCTGACCTTATAATGCAGAACAATTCAATTTTTAGTCTCAATACCGAATGTTAAGTTTCAATTTCAAATTTGGTTTTTTTTCCGTGAATAACAAAGAGATCATCAGAAAATATATAGTTATGTACATACATGCCAGTATTTCTTTCAATAACAAAGTATGTGTTTCGTCCTGTTATGCCTTCTATTCGGATACTGTAAAATTTTGAAGGTATTTGTTCACTCATCTTAACATTTTGGAATCCTGAGATTGAAGTCGTAGCTTCACCAGACAGTCTGCCAGATCGGAAATTCTGTTTTGACTTTGGGTTGTGAAGGAAGATCTTTGGCTTTGACACAGGTCTACAGTCTACTTTATAGAGCCCATGTTGCAACAATTGCTGTCATTCCTGTCTCTGGTTGGATGACTTTTCGATGTAGAAAATTTAAAGGGAAATTTTATCTCAAATACTTGATCATCATCAGGTTATCACTTCTTTGACTAACACGTTTCGCGAGGAATTCTGTTTCGCTTCGTGTAAGGGCTTCGGTTGATGTGGTGGATAGCACGTCAGCCCTTGGTAAGATAAGGGTAATCGCGAGTTCAAAACCCTCATGAGGTCATGGGTCTTGGTTATATCTCACCATCTTTGTAGTTGTATTTCATATGTGACCCAATATTTAGAAAGGTGTTTAAAAGTGCTTCACAAAAACTATGCACCATTTAGTTAAAAATCGTCCATTCCATCATCTTTGTGTAGTACCAAGTTTACTTTTCTGTTGAGTTGGGGAACAACACTGCACATGTTCCAGTTTACTCTATCAAATTTCTAGCTGATATTGCAGGAAAGAATTTGTTAGGATTTGATTATTTATTACTATCTTTTATGGAGCAGAAAGCACGCGAATATACGAGCAGCTTATGAGCTCTTTAGTTCCCCTTTAATTGTTTCACTCGAACACCATTATACTGCTCCTACCCCGCTAGATATCCTATTGGTCTGTACATTTAACCTCTTCTCATGCGCTTTTAACAGCTTCGTAGAAATTCGTGCTTCTTGTTTAATACTTGTTGTTTGGAACGTACAACCAGAAAACTGTCTGTTTAAACAGAATGAATGCAAGCTTAGTGCAGGCTTTTTGCCACTTCCGTAGATTCTCTGATAGGCTGTATGGAAGAATACAATAAACGGACTGAGTTTATCTAGTTTTACATCTGATTATAATTCGGATGGATTGCCAAATGGAACTGAGCTAAGAGTCTTCCGAATCCGATTCTCCTAATAACTTAGGACTTAATAGAAATGCATTTAAAAACGAAATTGGGACTCTGCTACCATTCAGTTTAGGCAGCCTATAATTTTTATTTGGAAACAGAGTGCAATGGATCTACTAAAATCTTGAACAAACCTGTTAGTTCTTGCATCAGTTGCTCTTCTTCCTTAGTATCTGTTGAATTCTTCCGTCACCAGGCATCATATCGTGATTGCTGACCGCTGTAGAGTTATATGATGGGGAAATAATAGGAAGTTTCAAAATTAAGCTAGCATATTTGGGCTTATAAAGAATTTTATTGATTGCAGTAAAAAGTACTAGGGTCTTTAGAATTTTCCAAGAGTGCGCAACTTATATATCCCAACTTTTCGCGTCAAAGCGCCTATTTCGAACACCGATGCAGCTAAACAAGCATAATTTCGTCGAACAAGAAGCATTTCTGTTACCCTGTGTACTCCAACTGTTTACGTCTACCTTACCTTCTTTGAAAATTTTAAAAGTTTGATTCTATGATTCGCTGTTTTCTTGACGACCAAAAACACTCTTTTTACCGCAGTGTGTTAAGTGTGTCACTTTTAGTGTGTTAAGTATTATTAAAAGCTTATGCATTAAATTTTATTTGCTGAGGTGAAAGTATTGGACTAAGTAGATTGCGTTTCAATTTGGCTTTTCCAGGCTCTGAAGAAGGCGAAAGCACTCAAATGTGAGTTACAGTGAACGGACAAATATTATCATAACAACCTCATGTTTCCTCATGAAAACAGTAGATTATGGATCAGTGCTGATGTTGAAAGAAATTCGGTTCTGGAGTTCAATTCTAGTCTTTTCAGGATTTTAG